CTTTTTCCCTTTATTTTAGGTATTAACATCGTATATCGGTTCCCGATCACGACGACGAAACCCGAAAATGACGAACGAAAACGAAAAACGACGAGCGCGAAACGGAAAGCGAAATAAATTCTTTTTATCATTTTTCTTTTAAATTTGCTTAAGCAATTATTAAAAAAATAAATTTAATTAATTAAATATACTTTTGCTGAAAATAAGTAAATAAAAGATAAATAAACAAAATGTTATTTTTAATAAAAAGTTTTATTTAACATTTAAATTCTGTTATTAGCAATCAATTTAAAATTCCTTTTTTATTATCAGATAGAAGCAATTCCTTTCTTGATTCTTTTTTTTTTTTTTTTTTTTTTTTTTTTTTTTAATAATAATACTTCGACAATGAAAATTTAATTAATACAAAAGCTAATAATAATAATAATAATAATAATAAAATAAAGTGCCTCCTTTCTTATATATATATATCAAGTTAATTTCAACCCATCTAATTAAAATATCAAATTTAAACGTCTCTTCATTATCTCTAATTTCAATATTTTCGCCATTCTATGGTGCTTGCATAAGATCTTCAATTTCTTTACCTCTATATTTAGCTAAATAATAAATATTAATAAAAGAATGATCACCACCTTGAGACCTAACAACACCTTCTAAATTATCTATAGCAGCCAAAAAACCTAATTCGCCTTTATGTTCACCAAAAATTACTTTAATGTCATCTCTTCTTTGTACTTCAGTCGGTCTCAAATAACTTTGATCTACTGTCACAGTCATGCCATCACTATCATCTAATCTGAGAAATCCTGTACTAGGACCTTTTAAACTTACTACTATACCGACGCGATTATCATATCTACCATTTTCAAATGATTGAATTCCTGTTGTTACTATACGTACTTCTATACCTGGCGTAAGCCAATCACCAAAATCTGGAAATTTTGTTCAAAAAAATTATATTAATAATTAAAGAATATGTTTAAAAGGCAAGCAACCGAAAAATCGATTTTTACCTTTAACATCTGGAGGTTTTTTAGGATCTCGGCCATGATGTACAGCATGATTAGCAGATAGAGTAGCAAACGGAGTTTGTGGTATCATATTGGCAGGTGTCATGGGTAAATTACCAGGAGTAAACGGTCTTGGGGTAGGTGGTATAAGGCTACCGGTATTTGCGGGTGTAAATACAGGATAATTGGGTGTATCAGCTGCTGGTGTAGCCACGGCTGAGTATCCTGGTGTATTGGTGATTCCTGAATATCCAGGTGTTTCGGCAGCAACAGAGGTAATATTTATCGTCGCATTCGTATTAGCTGTGGCCGAACTACTATTACTACCCCCGAATATGTTACTTATGTTACTGACGCTATTATTACCACTATTACCACCTACTATACCGGAGGAATGTGGTGTGTGACTTCCTGAATCCCATGCAGGCGTTTTACTACCGTCTGACATTAGTCCATATGCAGGAGTTTTGCTACCAAGATCCCACGCTGGCGTTTTTGATCCAAGTGATGTATGGTTATTATTACTATGGTTTGCGCTACTATTACGTAACGCCGGAGTTTTACTGCCACTAAGTAATCCGCTGCTATGTAATGCGGGTGTTTTACTCCCATCCATATTCAATCCACTGTTCGCACTATCCAATAAATGTGTATTTGATGTCATAGTAGATCCCAACGAATATCCCCAACTCTTTTGTTGTTTACTTAATCCCGTTGTCCAACTTGGTTCGGAGTATGAGCTTAATCCAGGACTAATTTCCATGGAGCCTCTACTAGATTCACGATTTCTTGGTATAACTGGATCCAATGCTTCTCCTTTCTCACTATATAAACATAATTCATATAAAGTTATTTGAATTTCAAAAAAAAAAATTAATTTTAACGTAGATAAGTCCTTACTTGACGTGAAAGAGTTGTTCGAGTTCAACTTTAACAGTCGTTAATTTGGCATCAAATTCGACATCTGCCATATTGCCATATACCCCTTTAACCGTACCCTGATATCCTTTAAGAGCACCTTGTGATGCTTGCACTCTCTTATTTAATAAAGGATGTCGGTATATCGATCGACCACGTCCTCTGCCTCGACCTTCTCTTCCACCACGACCCCCCCCTCCTCTATTATTGTGATTATCACGAAATCTCTGTTTAGGAAAGGTAATCTGTTGATCATTAACTTTGGAGGACTAAAATATCGAAAAGGTTAATTTGCGTACCAATATATTAATATATTTTTTTTTCAGAAAACATTTAACAATAATATATATCTAGATAAATCACCTTGGTTGATTCATATTTTAATTTTAAATCTTTAGTTTTGAAACATGAAAATCCCAAGTTTGTATCATCATCGTAAGTTCTGACAAACACATAAGCTTCATATATACGAAAAACTTCATAAAGCTATTTAAAAATATATATATATATATATATGTGCATTTTTTTTTGAATTTTTGAATTTCGTTTTGACACAATTATAATTATTACATACATATATTATAAATAATTTCCCACCTGCTTATTAATACTTTCCATTTTATTTGTAACAACTTGATCACCTTTTTTAAACGTTTGACTTTTTGCGTCATGCAAAGATCTCGTTATACTTGCCGTCGTAACACTTTTGACTAAATTATTTTCGGAATTCAACACGTCATATTCATAGTTTTTTTGAGCCTTTCTAATATCAATGATAATTCCAACTGAAGAATCTTTTAATTGAACTAAATCAAAATATCTAAATCCACCAAATTCATTAACGATAGAATTTTGAACACCTTTTTTTAAATCTTTGGCAAAGACCGAAATCTATTATAATGTTGATAAGTAAAATATATGAGATATTTTATTTAAAAGAGAAGGGATGAATGAGATAAAATACCTGTTTGTTGGTATGATCTAAATACATGGTCATAACATGCCTGTCACAATTAAAAACAAAACCACTTTGACCTTGATATGGACCGTTCGTGATTTGCACATAATCATGAACATTAATATTTTTAACGCATTCTTCTGAATTCACTTTAAAAATTCTACCGCCATTCTCTTTATCAGTGACGGTTAAAACACCATCTTTAACCGATATTACGGTACCGACTGAACCTTTGAGAGATCCTTGAAGAACTTTGATTTCATCTTGTATTTCGTAAACAGTAATCTTACTAGCCACATTTGAAAGTTCCATCATGATGGACTCTGAAAAAAAAATATATATATAAACACACATAAGTTCACATTAGTTAATCATACTATTACTGTTTGATAGTTACCATTGTCAAATTTTGCCTTTAAAAAATCTTCAACGTCTTGCAACAACAGATCCATATTTGAATAAATCAGATCTTTAATCTTATACTTGACTTTCATATAACCTCTATTATATGTTTTTGTATAAGTATCTGTATCTTTACGTTTACGCTTAAGTGAGGCTCCATCTTGATCTACAAGTATGCGTGGAATAATCTCAACCTCTATTATTTCATCAGTACTATACGAAGTGACCTATAAAAGGGTATATATATATATGAGCTCAGTTTTTATACTATTAACAAGATTAAAGTTAAATGAAAAAATACCCTGGCAAGATCCCCGAAATATTCGTCACGTTTGTTAGTTCTAACAAATGAACCAATTTGGATATTTAATCTTGGCTTCTTTGGGGCCATTAAATCCTGCTTTTCTTTTGGACTAAGTCTCTTTATGTTCTTCTTTGAAGAATATAAATACTTATTACATCTCATAGCCGCCTATAAGATGTGAAAAAAAAATACATTTTGATAAATATTATTGATATTTAACTTGAGTATCTAGATAATATCACTTTACTCACATTTTGAACGTCTTGTTCCTTATCAGCTTCTATGTACACGAAGTCTTCGATACCATCGATAGCAATAACTCTTTTAATCTTCAATGGATCGGATCGAAGTTTCTTCAAATTCTCTAATCTGTCAATTGCATGAAATACATGTCCTTTCTACGAAAATAAATTTTGGTGTTAATTTTCAAATTCAAATTGTTTATAATGAACTGTTTGAAAAAAAAAATTTTACTCACTCTACACTTTACAGCAAACAATTTATCGACAGTAGCGATTTCAGGTTTAGTTAAATCCTCTTCATCATCACTTAGCCTACCCGCAGTTCTACGATAACGTTCATTGAGTACTTGAGCTACCCTTTCAGCATCAAAATTATCTTCCTCGAATACTGATCTTTCGATTTCAGCGACAGCACGTCTATTGTCCCGATGATAAGTGCTCAATTCGGTCTCAATTTCTCTATTATCGATGAAATCTAAATATTAAAAAAGTTGCTCTTACATTCAATAAATGTATTAATGAAAATTTAAAATTTACATAACTAAAGATATATTTACATTCTTTATCGTAAATCGCATCTTCGTCTTCATCTTCGTCTTCTTCCTCATCGTCTACGTCGGCTTCATTTAAAATGAATTTACTCGGATCATTCTTATTACCCTTGTGACGTTTTTTATCTCGCTGTTTATATTGAAAAAACGAATTAGCAACATTACATTTTCAAATTATTAGATCGAGCTAGTAAAAGTACTTACCCTTTTTCCTCCATAATCATCTTCTTCATCGTCTTCGATTTCTTCTGAATCTTGCTCATAATCGTTATATTCGTCATAATTTGTTTCGTCATTTTGTTGATCTTGCCCGGTATCTTCTTCGACGCTCCAGCCTCCATCAGTTTCATCAAGTCGACTTTCTTCGTCGTCGGAAATGTTTTGTTTATTTTTTAACATTTTTCAATCAATTCAATTAATAGCAATCAAATATTTTTTGACAAGGGAGGCTTAGTTTAAGAATTCAACTATTTATAATTAAATTTGCTCAATCAATGATGCGTCACACAAACTGTGAACCAATCGGTTTAAAAAAGGCTTTAAAAAGCGCTTTCAAGTTTTATTTCAAAGAGATTTTCAAAAAAAAATAATTTTTTTCAAATCGTTTTAATTATGGAGTTTTCAGGGAATGTATTGAGTGCACTCCCAAACATCATCTCTGTTATTACTGCGGAAGACCTGGTCTATGTTCGTGGGAAGACGAGGTAAAAGTTCTGTTACTTTTACTTGGGATATGGTAAAAAAAAATTAAAAAAAAAAAAAAACCTAATAATAATATTACATTAATGAAAGTAAACAGGAAAGTCTTTGCATGATTATTGACTCGATGGGGGAAGCTTCTTCAAAGGTAATGATTACCAACAATAATAACGAGAATTATATAATAAAAAAAGATTTTTCATACATAAAACTTAGGCACAATATTTGAAAAATATTATAACGACTATGGAAAAGTTCCAATCATCATCACATAAATTATACTTAATGAAAGATCAAGAAAATAAGACAGTAGTTGGAATCCTTAAAGTTGGAATAAAAAAATTATTTATCGTGGTACGAATTTAACTTGACCTAAAACTAACGTAGCCGATTGATTAGTATTATGTTGATAAATAACCTAACTTTGTCAAAAAAACTTACAAAGGATAGGAAAGGAAGGCAACATGAAATTGAACCTTTGTGTGTTTTAGATTTTTACGTACATGAAAGTTGTCAAAGATCAGGTTATGGCAAACAAATGTTTGAATACATGTTAAAAAATGAACAAGTTATTAATCCTTGTAAATTAGCATTTGATAGACCTTCAGATAAATTTAGATCATTCTTAAAGAAACATTATAATTTAGAAAATTTTGTTCAACAGCCGAATAATTTTGTTGTGTTTGACGAGTATGGTTTACCAGGTATTTGTCTCATGATGTCTGTTACGTTTTCACGTTTTTTTTGTACGAATGAAAAGATTAAATTTTGATTGAATTTCATCATTTAGATAACCCAAATTTACATTTACTTAATAAAGCTCATACTCGTAGACATTCTACAGAAATTAAATTATCGAGTGAAAGATCAGGAACTTATCATAGACATACAAGATCTCTTACACCAAATCATCATTATTACACTTCACCACTTTTCAATAATTCTTCACCAGCTCTCTCTTCCTCTTCAATCCCCTTAGAAAACAATTATACTTCAGTATCATCAATTAATCATTCTGCTCCCCCTAAAGAAATTTATGTTCAAAGAAAAAGAGAACTAATTAGTCAACAAGAACACGGCAAACAATCTTTATATGGTAAAAATCCTATTTCTTGGGAATGACCTTTCAATGAGTGAATTGATGTATTTTTTTTTTTTTTATCCTCTTCAATAGACTTATAGACAAATAATAAAATTAAAAATGTATAACAGACGTGCGCAGCCAATAAATTCTTTGGCGGCCGAAAATCTAGGCCATATCAGGCTATTGTTGACATTGATAATATTCTATAATGGTTACAATAGGGAATTCTCCGAAAGAAGTAGGGCTAAGTATATATATTATAAATGGTCAGATATAAGTCTTCGATTTTTATCAAAAATCAAAAAATAATAATAAAAATATATAAATAAAAAAATGGATAGTAAGTCTAATAAAGTTGGAGATCGGGAACAAAAAGATCAAGACGCACCGCCACCCCCATATACACCAGAGCAAGCTGGTAGTTCAAATACCAACACTTCTGTCGTTACAAACGAAGGAGGTGCTACTGAACAAACTCGTTTGAATTCAAAACCACCACAGTCATATACTGCTACAAACACCTATACGCCTACTCCCAACTTATCTTACTCCCCTCCTACAAACAGAGGAATTTATCAAGCTCCTGAAACGGTCGTACTTACAGCGGCAGTACCTTTAGAGGCTTTACGCACTGAACCAGTTGTGACAACCTGCCCTCATTGTCGACAGGTTGTTTTGAGTAGCGTTCGTTTTGAAGTTGGTGGTTGTACTTGGTTGACAAGTTTTGTCTTATTATTCTTGGGCATTGGTGGTGGTGGTTGTTTAATTCCCTTCTGTGTAAGTGTGTCTATGTATAATTATTTATTTTTAATTGCTTTAAAAGGTATTACTAATTCTTTGCCTTTTTTTTTTTTTTTTTTTTTCCTTATCCCTCTTTATAATAATAGATATCTGATTTAAAAGATAGTTATCATTCTTGTCCAAATTGTGGTAAAATTATGGCAAAATATTCAAGATTGGATGGTAAAGTGTTTAGATATAGAGGATAAATTCTATATTAAGCGCGTCATTGAAAATACTGCTGGAGATTTTGGAATTGAGTGAAAATACTGGAATGAAATCAACTTTTTTTTTTTATATTCGGAGAAACTCATTTTTCAAATTATCATTTATAATAAATTATATATATTATCTTCGTAATTTTCAAGTATAAACATTATATATACATATATATATATATATATTTTTTTTTACTACTAATAAAAGTGACTAATGTTCTTACAAATAAAATGAATATACAGTATTTTTAATAATCTCACCAATGTTCATTTAATTATTTAACAAACTTTCCGTTCCAACCACGCCAAACTTCTTCAACAGTTTTAGCTTTGGTTTCTGGTAAAATACGTATAGCAATAATATAGGCTATGATTAAATAGGCTGCAAAGATATAAAAAACATTACCTCCTAACATTACTCGACCTTCTAAAAATAATGAAGCGACTAAAAAATTACTTATCCAATTTACGGATAACCCTAGACTAGACGCTGTCGCTACAGCACGAGTATCAACTATTTCAGGTATGATTAAAAATGGTATAGGACCCAATCCGATAGCGAATGTGGCTACGAATCCAATTATTGATATTGAAGAAAGTAATGCTAATTCATGCGTTATACCAAATGCTAATAAAATCGAACATAAACTCATCAACGATATTGAGTAAAGTAACAATGTCCTTCTTCCTGCCCTATCCATCAAATATGCTGATATGATGGTCATGATCATATTCATTATACTAATATATACCGTAATTAAATCACTTGATGTTGGTAATATTGTTGATAATATCGTTGTAGAATAAAATATTACCGCATTGATACCTGAAAATTGCTGTGTAAATTGTACAAATAATAATACCTTCAATGCTGGTCTATAATGTAAATTAGTAACAAATTTCCATATACTGAAATCATCTGAGCAGGTGTTTCTTGCAAGAAAAACTACAGGTGGTGATTCTACTGTGTCAACTTCTGGAACATTTTGTGGTGACAACTCTGATTGTTGTTGTGAATTTAACGTGTCTTCTTCCTGTTGTTGACTGATTAATCCCTCTAATCCTTCTTCTGATGTTACCTGTCTCCATCCCCCTAATTCTTCTTCTACGTCAATTCTACCTCTTAATCGTTGTAAAGCTCTTTTTGCTGATTGATATCCTCCCGGTGTTGTTACAAGGTATTTTGGTGATTCTGTCGCAAATCCAAGAAATACCATTTGTACAATTGATAAAGCTGACGCAAACAATATAATGATTCTCCATCCTGGTATGTATGAAAGATACAATCCTTGGACTTGTGAAAATAATATACCAATTACAATTCCAAGTTGATTCATTACACCTTTGATAAATGAAAAAATTTTTGTTATAACAAGTTTATATATATATATAAATATATATATATTAAAAATGAAAAATTACCAAAGGTACCGCGATATTCTGCAGGTGAGACTTCAGCGAGATACATTGGGACAACTACACTAACCTATAATTGTTTGAAAAATTAAAAATAAAAAATTTTAAAATGACACGACCCATAGTTTCGCAACTTACCACGCCACTACCAATACCGGAGATTACTCTACCAAAAACTAATGTGGTAAAAGAACTAGAAAATCCCATCGTGGTAGGTCCAAGGAGTAAAAAAATTGTATTGAACATCAAAGTCCATCTTCTTCCTTTATTATCAGCGACGCGTGGAGAAATTAATGCTCCAACTAATCCACCCAAGTTAAAAATTGATGTAAGCAAACTAAACTCTCCTTCATTCATTGGAATACATGGTGAAAGAAAACCATCATGTCCATCTGACGGAATATTTTCACATGAAATTGCACTTTTTGGTGTATTAAGTTCTCCGATCTAATTGTAAGGAATTCTTTTAAATTAAACAATAAATAAAAACTCATTCGAATGAAATGTGAACTTTACATGATAACCAAATTGTAATGAACCTAATACGACTGCAAAGGAAACAAAAATTAGATAAAAAGTGAGTTCTGCCATGGAGAAAAGATCCTAATGTGAAAGGGCTTTGAATTAGGAAACGATAAAATCGACAGCTGAAATCACGTGGATGATTAATTGTGCGCATTTCTTGAATGACAAGTTACGCCGATAATTACTATATTAGGAAGGCGTATGAGGAAGTTTTGTATGATTGGCTGCTAAACATCGCCTTAATTTTTTGTAAAATTTACTGTAATTGGTAAAATTTGTTGCTGATCATCACCAAAATTATAAAAGCACGTGATCATTTTTAAAATACCGCATTGCCAAATTCAGTCAGGGATTTTACCAAAAATGGACGATGTCGATCATTCCTTTTATAGTATATAAATGTCGATCAGAAAGTTCTAGACTATTCTAAAATTTATTATATAATCTTGCATATATGGGCCTTTGCAATAGAAAGAAAGGAAACTCCTCCAAAAATGAAAAATGGGTTTTTGCTAAATTTGGATATATTTCTGCATGGCTATATTTTTCAATTATAAATGTAAGTTAGTTTGCATAATAAAAATTCGATAAAAGAAAATGTTACACTAAAATAATTAACATCTAAAAATAGTAAGGAGTCAATACAAAGTTATACTAAATGATCAGAATCTAAAGTTTTTTTGCAATAGAAAGGGAGGAAACTCTATTTTTGATAGCTTTAATAGCTAATATAAAAAATAAAAAAGTCACGATATTCATAAACTTCCATTTTAATAGTTTAAAATAAGAGAAAAAAAGTTAACTTAACCAAAGAGAGTTTATTGAAAAAGATGGAAAAACTTATTTTAGAGGTGAAATTGCTTTACAATTAATCAGTTTTAATAGTGAAACCCAAGGGTAAAGTAAAGTCAACTGAATTAAAGAAAATGCTTCAGATTTTGATATGTGATAAATAATAATCTGAATATTTATAAAAGCATAGTGTTATGGTCAGTTCTTTAAGATGCTTATAAGTGATAAGTGAAGCAATATATATGGGTGGTAAGCAGAAGGTTTAATTTAATATTTAGATTTAGAAAAGTGTCGATAAATTAACAGTTTATTTAATAACTATAATAATGGAGTACTGCCTCAATTAACGCTCTGTATTATACAATTATATTAGAGAGATTAAACTAAACTATTATATAAAACTATAAATCAGACACTCTACTAGGCTAAAGGAATTTATCCTCTATTTATATAAAATGAAAAATATAAAGTTATCGAAGATATAAAAGAAATAAATATAATAAATAAAATATATAAAATAAATAAAATATAATAAATATATGAGATAAATAAGATAAAATAAATAAAAGAAATATAATATATAAAAGAAATAAATGCTATAGATGTTATAGATGACATAGAAGACATATATGATTTCTTAAGGATCGATGTTATCATTTAGATCATCATCATCTATGTCTTCTTTTGTGTAATAATAGTGAGTTGTCAAGAGTGTTTGGAAAATAAAGTCTATCTATCTCAGTTTTAAGGACTTGTTTGCTTTCTCTTTCAGTTTTAATTATTTTTGTCGTAGTATTCTTTTCAGTTATGATAAAGGTTGATCTGTTCCTTTGTAAATTCTCCTTCTTTTTGTTGACCTTTTTGCTCTAACTCTTTAATTATCTTATCTCTTTGACTTACTCTCTCCTTCCATTCTGTTTTTTCTTTTAATCATTCAACTTCTTTTTTTTAAAATAAGCAAACCCTACTAAATGAGGATGGGTTTCGCTTTTCATCTCTTCTAAACCTTTAAAAGTGCTTAGTGATAATCAGGAGGGAAACCTCTAAAGTAAAATGACGTAAACCTGCTCGCAAGCAATCCAAATTTTAATTACCCAAATTATGAACTGCCATTTTAAAGTGAGTTTAATATTTTTCTTTAAACTGGTACTAACCACTCTGTTTTCTCTTCTTTTTTTAGGATTTGATTTGGACTTTTTAAGCGAATTTATGGTAAATTTTTTATAGGTAGGCGAGTTAATTCTTCTTTTAAAACGGTACTAACCATTTTTTCTTTCTTCTTTTTTTAGGAATCAGCTTGGACTTTCTCTCAAAACGAACTCATGGTAAGTTTTTTATGAGTGAGTTGTTAATTCTTTCTTTTAAAACAGTACTATTTTTCTTTTTTTTTTTAGAAATCAGCTTAGACTTTTCTCAAAACGGACTCATGGTAAGTTTTTTATGAGTGTGTGTTAATTTTTTCTTTCCTTCATCTTTTTTAAGGAATCTGCTTGGACTTTCTTAAGTGAATTTATAAGTTTTTTATTATGGGCGAGTTAATTTCTTTCTTTCAGTAATTAACCATTTTTTTTTCTCTTTTTTTAGGAATCAGTCAACTTTTTTTCAAGTAGATTTATGGTCATTTTATGGATTTAATTAGATAGAACGAACTTTATAAGAAATAGTATTCTTTTTTATTAGTTAAAGAATTTTTACACAAACATTTTATGAAATCAATTTTAAATAATAATGACGTAATATAAAATCAGAAAAAAAATTTTTTTCAATTATTTTTTTATTAAAAAAAAAGTAAAATTATTTATCTACTTGGTTTTTGAATGGTTGGTAATGGACAATAATCATTTTACTTTTGAGGATCTCTGATGTGTTGATATATCTGCTCATATAAATAGCATTGCCTTTCAGCTGATAATCCTGCAAGAAAAATTTCTTATGAAAATCATCTAATTTCTTTTTTTTTATAATATCTATAATTTGCTCATCCCCATCAATTGTTTTTTTTTTACTTTTACTTTACTTATATTATTACTATAAAAAATAAAATGATGGTATTTTAAAATATTAGGAATTATTTTAAAATAATTTGATAAAAATTCTGTTCAATTATAAAAATGTACTATACAGTTTCCATCTTTATCAAAAATTGTCTATGCTTGATTATAACCTTCTAATGTTGAACTGTTTACTACATCTACTAAATCATCAAGATTATCAACTTCTGATTTTTATAATTTTAATTTAAAAAGACCAAAAAATCC